AGTGTAACCCTACACTTGTACATTCACAGTCCTCTCGAATTTATCAATTTAATAATTTAATTTTTATTACTTTTTTGTGTAATTTTCGTTATTATTTAGATTGTAACAGTTCTTGATCTCAGAACCTCTCTTTTTCACTCTTCCTAAGTGTAGCTTACAATTGCACATTCACTATCCTCGCGAATTTATTTAAGTATGATTGTTAGAAAGTATGTCAAATATATTTGACAATTACATGCTAACGTAAAGTTGGGGGAATGGGGGATAATAGGCTAAGGTAAACAACGCAATAGACTTTGAAATTTATTTTTTTTAAATTCTTCCAACACTTCTTCAACCATGGCATAGTTGAGACGCTTCACAAAGCACTTGTTCAATCCAGCTGCTAAAAATTCCTCTGTTTCCTTTTCATCGTCACGGCTAGTTATTCCCGCAATTACACTCTTAACCCCTAACGTAGTCATGCATAGTCATGCGTAGGAATAAGTTATCTTTCTTGCTACGACCTTCGTAGAAAAAACTCCATTTGCATTCAGAATGAATACAGAGATTTGAAAATTCAGCCAATTTAGCTTTGGAGGTTCTTTCCCTCGAAAAAGGCTATTAGTTTTCACTAAACCTTATTGACCAATGCCAGCTCATCAACTAATGCCACCAGGAGCTGAATGAAACCGAAAGTTGTTATAACCCTCACTGTTATCACCCCTTCTTTTTTTATGCGCATCACATTTTCTGTTATTAGCATTTTCTCTCCTTGTGTTATAAATTGTGCATCTTCTTTGTAATATTAAATCACAATTCTTGATTTCAAAACCTCTCTTCAGGTTCCTCTCTTTGTAATTTGTAAGTGTAACCCTACAATTGTACATTCAGAGTGCTCCCGAATTTATCAATTTAATAGTTTAATTTTTATCTTTGTGAATATCTTTTTGTGTAATTTTCCTTATTATTTACAATATAACAGTTCTTGATCTCAGAACCTCTCTTTTTCACTCTTCCTAAGTGTAGCTTACAATTGCACATTCACTATCCTCGCGAATTTATTTAAGTATGATTGTTATTTAAGTATCTAAGAGAATTCATTGTATTAGTAATCAAATAATTAATATTGAACAACTTACTTCACTTCTTGATTAATTACCTACACTAATTAATATAAGATGGATATAGTACCTCTACACCATTCATGATAGGCATGTCTCTGTCCATGAAAACTATGTCAAAGTTAACCCCAGAAACATATATATCCACCGCTTCCTTTCCATCCTTAGCCACTGTTGCCTCTATGTTAAAGATTGTTTCACGATTCATCTTGTGGATTGTACGAGTCACGATATCATCATCTACAACGAGTGCTGAAATCTTCACTTTGTCTCCGGTATTCTGTTCCACTTTGTCTCCGATATTCTTCTGTTCCACTTTGTCTCCGGTATTCTGTTCCACTTTGTCTCCGGTATTCTGTTCCATTTCGTTCCTGTACCAATCCATGGAAATATTTTTCAACCATTGTCAGTTTCAAAAAAGGTGTTATGCATCTATAGTGTTCAGGTAGGTATAAGTTGGGGTTGAAAATAAATTGGCCCATTCTCATAATACATACATACATAGATACACCCTCTCCTATCCTTTTTTGTTTTTTTTTAATAACATCACAGCCCATTATATAAAACCTTCAAGTGTACACTAAAAAAGGTGTTATGTATCTATATAGTGTACAGGTAGGTACAAGTTGGGCTTGAAAATAAATTGGCCCATTGTTATAATACATACATAGGCCTCTCCTACCTTTCTTTATATATATATATATATATATATATATATATATATATATATATATATATCATTATATAAAACCTTTAAGCTGGGTTTAAAACAAAAATCAAATTGATCAAAACAAAATTAGCCGAGAGCCAGAAATTTTTTATGTAAATGATTCTTTTTAATTTGTCTACTTGACAGTTGTAGCTTACAATTGCACATTCACTATCCTCGCGAATTTATTTAAGTATGATTGTTAGAAAGTATGTCAAATATATTTGACAATTACATGCTAACGTAAAGTTGGGGGAATGGGGGTATTAGGCTAAGGTAAACAACGCAATATACTTTGAATTTTTTTTTTTTAAATTCTTTCAACACTTCTTCAACCATGGCATCGTTGATAGGCCTCACAAAGCACTTGTTCAATCCAGCTGCTAAAAATTCCTCTGTTTCCTTTTCTTCATCCCGACTAGTTATTCCCGTAATTACACTCTTAACCCCATACCACGCAGCTTTATTGTTGCCTGTTAAGAGAATTCATTGTATTAGTAATCAAATAATTAATATTGAACAACTTACTTCTTTTTCTTGATTAATTACCTAAACTAATTAATCAAATAATTAATATTGAACAACTTACTTCATTGTATTAGTAATCAAGCCTAAATTTGCTGTAGTGGAGTCATGCATAGTCATGGGTAGTCATGCGTAGGAATAATTTATCTTTCTGCTACGACCTTTGTATAAAAAACTCCATTTGCATTCAGAATGAATACAAAGATTTGAAAATTCAGCCGATTTAGGCTTTGGAGGTTCCTTCCCTCGAAGAAGGCTAATCGTTTTCACTAAACCTTATTGACCAATGTCAGCTCATCAACTAATATCACTAGGAGCAAAATGCAACTGAATGTTGTTATAACTCTCACTGTTATCACCTCTTCTTCTTTTTTTATGCGCATCACCTTTTATGTGATTAGCACTTTCCCTCCTTGTGCAATAAATTGTGCATCTTCTTTGTAATATTCAATCACAATTCTTGATCTCAAAACATCTCTTCTCGTTCCTCTCTTTGTAATTTGTAAGTATAACCTTACAATTGTACATTCACAGTGCTCTCGAATTTATCAATTTAATAGTTTAATATTTATCTCTATGAATATCTTTTTGTGTAATTTTTCTTATTATTTACAATATAACAGCTCTTGATCCAGAACCTCTCTTTTCACTCTTCGTAAGTGTAGCTTACAATTGCACATTCACTATCCTCGCGAATTTATTTAAGTATGATTGTTAGAAAGTATGTCAAATATATTTGACAATTACATGCTAACGTAAAGTTGGGGGAATGGGGGTAATAGGCTAAGGTAAACAACGCAATATACTTTGAATTTTTATTTTTTTTTAAATTCTTCCAACACTTCTTCAACCATGGCATCGTTGATAGGCCTCACAAAGCACTTGTTCAATCCAGCTGCTGAAAATTCCTTTGTTTCCTTTTCTTCATCCCGGCTAGTTATTCCCGTAATTACACTCTTAACCCCCATACCACGCAGCTTTCTTGTTGCCTGTTAAGAGAATTCATTGTATTAGTAATCAAATAATTAATATTGAACAACTTACTTCTTTTTCTTGATTAATTACCTAAACTAATTAATCAAATAATTAATATTGAACAACTTACTTCATTGTATTAGTAATCAAGCCTAAATTTGCTGTAGTGGAGTCATGCATAGTCATGTGTTGGAATCTTATCGCTATGTTATCTTTCTGTTAGGACCTTTGTATAAAAAACCCCATTTGCATTCAGAAGGAATACATAGATTTGAGAATTCAGCCAATTTAGGCTTTGGAGGTTCCCTCCCCTCAAAGAAGGCTAACCGTTTTCACTAAACCTTATTTACCGATGTCAGCTCATCAACTAATGCCACCAGGATCAAAATACAACCGAAAGTTTTTATAACCCTCACTGTTATCACCTCTTCTTCTTTTTTTATGCGCATCACCTTTTCTGTTATTAGCACTTTCCCTCATTGTGCTATAAATTGTGCATCTTCTTTGTAATATTCAATCACAATTCTTGATCTCAAAACCTCTCTTCTCGTTCCTCTCTTTGTAATTTGTAAGTGTAACCCTACAATTGTACTTTCACAGTGCTCTCGAATTTATCAATATAATAGTTTAATTTTTATCTCTGTGAATATCTTTTTGTGTAATTTTTCTTATTATTTACAATATAACACTTCTTGATTTCGAAACCTCTCTTTTCCACTCTTCCTAAGTGTAGCTTACAATTGCACATTCACTATCCTCGTGAATTTATCAATTTTTTAATTAAATTTTTCCCTCCCTATTTTCCGAGTAGTCCATTCCCGCTTCCACAGTGTATGGACAGCTATCCCTTCGGCCACTCTCTCTCTCTCCACCTATTATATTGTCACAATTTGATGGAAGATTGCTACTAAGATATTATTATAGGGTGCTATTTGTAGTTGAAACTTGATAACAATATTAGTTGGAACCAAAGTGGTCGTTTAGAAAATGGGTATTATTTATAGCGCACCGTGATTCTAATATGGTGTTCAATTGTGGAAAGGAAATATGCTGTTTTGCTCATAAACAGCACACATTATTCAGGACTGTCATTTAATTTAGAATTAATATTTTTATTTAATTTTTAAATAAAAATAACCTCTTACTTTTTTTCCACCATAATTTCTGTTTCTTTCACCTTAAAACACAATATTTTTTATTAAAATAACACAATTCTATATCTTTCAAAATGATAAACACTATTCCCTATAATTAAAGTTGTAAATTGTTGTGACAATTTTAACAAGATTTTCTTTTATTTGAGAAAAACAATTATCTGACTATGGATCGCACAAGTTATGAAACAAGCGATCAAGGAAATAAGAAGCAAGCAAGCATTTAACATCCAATCCAACTAAAATCAAGAATGAAAATTATGCGATAATTCAAAAATTAAGCTGATAACTTATTGAAAGAATGTTCCATAGAAAAAGTACGAAGAAATCTAATCTAATCAAATTAAATTTTAAAAAAACTCGTTATTCCATTTTTATTTTCTATTTTTATATTTTGTTAAAGGGCTAATGTTTTGGGTTCATCATTCAGAGTATTGGGCTTGTCTTGTACCATTATCTCTTGTGCCCATTAACACTAACCTTTCCTTAAATTAAAAGGCTCACTATAATAATAGCCTGAGGCCTTTCGGTTTGTTCTTTTTCCTCTTTCTGTCGACTCTCAACGCTGCTGCGTGTTTTTGCTCTTTTTCTTTCTGGTCCTGGTTAGGGTTTTGCATAGTCTAACTCTTCTTCTCCGCCACGTCCACGATGGGTAAAGCTAAAAAGGGACCCAAATTTGCGGTTATGAAGAAGGTTATCACTTCTAAAGCTATCAAAAAGTGAGTTTTTTTTTTCTTCCTTACGTGTTTGTTCCTTCGTTATGCTTGGATTTCCTCTTTTTTCATTGCTTGCATTTGTGTCAAATTCAGCTATAAAGAAGAGGTTTTGAAACCAGAAAAGAAGAACCTTCTAAAGGAAAAGCTACCAAGAAATGTGTAAGCCTTCGTTCTCGCTCTTTTCTTTCACTTATGATTCCTCATGAATATATCAGTTTTTTTTTTTTGCTTCCACCTTTTCAGTTTTTTGTAATCTATGGTTTGAATTTGAATTATTTAGTCCAAGTCACTCGTCGGCGCTTTTCTTTCAATACAATACTTCGTTGGGACCCCCTTATCGTGTTTTGGTGGATACCAACTTCATCAATTTCTCCATCCAGAATAAAGTGAGTGTTCTTTGTTTTGCTTTAATTTTATTGAATGTTTGGAGTGGTGACAATAGACTTGTCTGTCTCTCATGACCATAATGTTATGGATGACGCAAGTACATTAGTATAACTATTGCATTCATTCAGAGAAACAATAAGTTCAGAAATTGATGGGTTTGATGGATTCTGAAATTATAACTATTGCTTCATTCATTCAGAGAAACAATAAGTTCAGAAAGCCATACTCACTTATTTCTCTGAGCCACCACAGTGTATATATCACACTCTTTTTACTTTGGTTATTTGTCACAAATTACTAAATTGTTTTTTCCAATGCAAAAATGTCCAATGATATAATCTAATATACCAATTAAAAGGGACTTGACGGGATGAGAGGGAGATATTCTGAGGGAAAGTTGATCATGGATTAGATTTGGTTCACCAAAAATTCCAAGAAAGAAAAAGTCGAGGCTTTGGTGATCTCGAGGAGGAAAACGGGGTCAGGGTACTTCTCATATAGAGGGAAAGGAAGAGTGAGAAAGAGGTGGTATCCATCAAGGTCTTAAAAAAATGGACGTGACTCTTGCTATTATAGCTATGAAGAGGTCTTGCCTCTGCTAGGCCCTGTTAGAGAATGATTCTCATGTGCTTTTCTTTAATGGATTAAAGTGCTAAATCATTTCAGTGCGTGATGGATGTAATTAAAACTGCATGAGTTGTATCATTATTTTTTTATGTTTCTTTGATGCTGGCTCACACAATTCTCTGGCTCTGTTTACGTAGTTGGATCTGGAGAAGGGAATGATGGACTGCTTATATGCAAAATGTGAGTTTGATTTAGATGATTACTTGTCTAAATTTATGAAATTCATGTTCAAGTTTAATTGAATGTTGGGGTTTCTATCAAGATATAGAGATTACGCGGTGATATCCTTTGCCTGGATTCAAATGCTTTTGTGATGTTACATATTTGAATCAACATCCCATACTCTATGCTGACCCTTGTTCTGTTAATATTTTGGATTTTCAGGCACCCCTTGTATCACCGACTGTGTGATGGCAGAACTCGAGAAGTTAGGTCAAAAATATCGTGTAGCTCTAAGGTAGATGCTATGTCTTGTGCCTTCATTATTATTTGTCTTTATTCTCATACACTTTGGATGTAGATATAAAAATTCAAAGTTATGTATGCATGCTGGGCTTGTCCAAGCTTTTTGCAAGTTTTCTTATTCACTATGTGCTTTATTAATCGAATTTTATGTCGGGGAAAAAATAGATCCTTTTGTATATTTCTCTGCTGAAATCCCTAATTTTTCATAAAATAAGAGAAATCAAATATGACCATACATCATTAGTGCATTCTGTTAAAAAATATAAGCCATCTCTCAGTCTAGTAGAAAAAATAAACTATATTATTCTAGTTTCAGCTTCTTGCATAGTTATCAAATGCGGATTGCGGCATGTCGCGGCCAACCCCAAAAAACGCTATAGCGGGTTGCGGTTGCGGAAATAGCGGAATAGATATATGACAGAAATAATGACAAAAAGAAACATTTTTCAAAGGCAGAGATAGCATAAGTGATAGAGAGAGACGCGGATAGACTAAAAAACCCTTAGATTTTTTCTATTACACATTTAAATTTAGGACAAAATTGACATTTTGCCTTATGACAGCAATATGGCCACAAATGTGACCGCAATGGCCGCTATTGCGTTCCGGTGTGACGCGGCGCGGTTTCTTGCGGCGAGGCACCGCAACGCCCATACGGCGCGGCTCACGGCGCTATTGCGGCGCAATTAACTACTATGGCTTCTTGGTGTATTAATTTATCCCTTTACATGACAGGATTGCAAAGGATCCTCGATTTGAGAGAATACTCTGTACTCATAAAGGGACCTATGCTGATGATTGCCTTGTTGAGAGAGTTACTCAGGTGTGATTTATTTTTAAGTATCTGTAAAATGTTCGGAATCATCTGGCTGAGATTTGATTATCAAGATTTAAGATCAATTTATGGTTTTCAGGCTGGATGAAAAGTAATCTTTTTGCTGTTTTGAAGTTACATTTTCTCTCTCCTGTCTTGTAATTTTGAACTTTGAAAAATTTCAGCAAAGCTTTTCTCAATTTTGAATTCATAGCTAAGATAATGGATATGATTGAGTTTTATTTGCTTCATTCTAGGTGTTTATGAACCTCATTTTCCAATTCTTGACTTTTACAATTTATATTCATTAAGTGAGCAATTTTATTAGAAATAATTTCAAATAAAAGTAATGGTAACATGCTTCCGCTGCCTTATTTTTTTTTTTTTTTAAAAAAATTTTAAATTTTATTTTTTAATACAAAAACCATTTTCTTGTAAGCAGCATAAGTGCTACATTGTTGCAACATGTGATCGGGACTTGAAGAGGAGGATCCGGAAGGTAAAGTCGTGAATCATTTCTCCATCTTTCAATGTTTTGATATTTAATCCAGACGTGTGATCCTTGAACTGGGTTTTTGTATTGCAGATTCCTGGTGTGCCAATAATGTACATCACCAAACACAAGTACTCAATAGAGAGGTTGCCTGAAGCAACAATTGGTGGAGGTAGCGAATAATGCACTAATATTTATATTTATTTGCAATGAAGGTTCATTGACTGCCAAGAACACGTAATGTAGCTAGCGACTAATTCCGAGTTGAGTTTAGTTTTTTGGACAAACCAACCTTGTATAGCCTCTTCGATAAACAAGATAAGCTAAGTTTCATCAAGTTTGGCTCTTCACTCCAAAGCTGTTTTGTTTTAATATATAACTTTGCCTCCTGCAAAGAGACATACTGCTTTAGTTAATGTGAATTTGAATAACATGAACCATTTTCTGGAAAACCCTGGTCAGTATGAACCTCCTTTAGTCATAGAATAAATTTATAGATCCTAATCTATCACTTTTATACTAAAGTAATGTTTCAGCTGATTTGAGTTTAAAGTCAATTTTGTAATAAAGCAATTGCTTCTTGGATCTTAACTTATTCAGTTCAATGACTCCCAAACAAAATGTAATATTTTATTAGTTAATATTCAAGTGTCTAATCAGGTAGTCATGAGTGGAAATGAATCATTAATCCTATTAGCAATTAGCAATACTAGATTTTCTATGGTTATTCTTTCTTTACCTATGAGTGTTAGTATTTTTTTTTCCTACAACTGATGACACACTTGTGGTTCTTAATGCAGCCCCAAGAATCTGATGCAGTAAAAATGGTAAAGCTGTGTATACTGATTATCTTGTCACTAATTTCATGGTTGAGAAATATGAAATCCTGCTGCAGTACCGTGCATGTTTGGTCCTTTTGCTGGCTGGATTGAATTCTGATGGAAAAGCTTGACACTGAACGAGAAGTAACTCTTCAATGGTTGATACATGAAATTTCCCTAGTATAACTTGGTGGTTGGGTTCTGCCAAAATTTTGTTTTCCTCCTGTTGCCTCGTTAATGTATGAAGGTGAACCTTGAAGACTGCCAGAACTATGGTGGCACTTTGATGGTTCTTGCCATATAAATCACAAGAAATGATTTTTTTTTTTTTGTGTTGTTTGGAAGAGAAAAGTTTATTTTCTTGAGTCTGAATAGAATTGAGTTCGTCCTTCACATGTCAGAAGACTGAATCGGAAAACTTAAGGCAGGGTGTATAATAACTGGCTATTATATTCCTGAATCTTAAATGACATAAAAGAGCTAAAGTTTGACCACAAATGCTTATCCTAGACGCTTGTGTTTAAACTTCAGCTTGTAAATGTCACTAAAAATAAAAATAAAAATTATAATTGTTAGATGTACAGAATTTGATAAGAGATAATTTTATTTATAATATTAGAAATGGTTTTCCCTATAATTTATTTTGTTTTGTTTATAATTAGATTTTTGTCTAATTTTAAAATATTAGACAGTTTAACCATTTAAATTAATTAATTATTCATTTTGTTTAGTCTTGTTTTGACAGTAGAATGGGTTTTGATCAGTTTTTGTTGGTTTAAAGCAATTTAATCGTGAATAGAATTTTGAAACTAAATCATAATTAATTAGGAACTCTGATACATTTGAATCAATCCAACTATGTATTTCGGTCCAGTAACAATTTGACAATTTTATTTCATACATTCTATATAAAACACTGAATAAAGAAAAGAGATGGTACAATTAAAGGGTTTGGGGTTCTTATCTGTTCATCATTTGGCATCGTGTCTCTAATTTTAATAAGATTCACTTGATTAAAATAATTAAAATTTCTCCATATAAACCTTTAGCAAAGTAATAGACACTTGAACGGTACGTGAAATCTATGATTGGGTCAAAATGTCTTCTATAAAAAGAAAAAAAGAAAGAAGCATTGAAATAGGAAAAATAAGGAATAAGTAATTTAATAATACAAACTTAGAGAAATGTGAAACTGGTAAAAAAAACTGCAATATGAAGTCAAATACATTTAAAACTTTCACGCACAGCGTTTGTAGTCCAACGGTTAGGATAATTGCCTTCCAAGCAATAGACCCGGGTTCGACTCCCGGCAAACGCATAAATATCTTAATTTTTATTATTATTTATTTTACATCCTAATTCCTTATTGCTAGATATAACTGACATTATATTAACGGTCTTCAACTAATAACGTGCACAAATTGTTTTGATTTCCATCTATTCCACTCAATACCATAAATGAAATCCTTTGACAATGTTGATACAGTACCTGCTCATATTGGCGCTGGTTAATAAGAGTGTTTGCGGTCTGAATTAGATCAGTAAAAATTATCCGATCTAGTTTTTTTGGTTTGATCTTGTAATCATTCATTTGATTTTAATTTTTTTTTTTTTAAATCCGATCCGATCCAATCCAATTTTTTTTTTTTTTCGGATTAGATCAGTTTTTGACTTTTTGAAAAGTTTAAAATTTATTTCATAATTATTGTATAAATAACATATCTTTTGTATGTGGGAAAAATGTTTGTCTTTTTAAAGAATATAACTTTGTGTTATTTTATATCCTAACCGTTGATTTCTGTCAATCAACGGTTAGGATTTATTGGATTTTATTACGAATTATTAATTAATTAATAAGTTTGACCTAGTAAATCCTAACCGTTGATTGACGAAAATCAATGGTTAGAATCTAAAATGACACAGTTATATCCTTTAAAAGGACAAACATTTTTTCCATTATATATATTAGCTTTGTAATAAAAATAATTTGAAACACAAAAGCATCTATAAACGATAATATAATTTTTTTTGGCAATGAGATATAAAGCTCTACACAGATGAAATGATGAAATTTTGATGATGGGATGTAGCTATATTTTTTCTTGGATTTAGTTTATAGGTTAATGAGTTTTGGGTTTAGAATTTTTTTGGACTATGATTAGTGAAATGCCCAAGTAGATAGAGAGGAATTAATATATTGGATCAGTTTTCATCAACCAATCCAAAAATCGATCCAATTCAATTAAAATTTGAAGTTTTTTAATCAGTTTTCGATTTTCGATTTTCGATTTATTCGGTTATCTGTTTTTCGATTTGATCACCGCTATTTGAATCGGTTGATGAACACCCCTACTCGTATTTGGAACATATTGTTTGCTATATACAATGGGGTTTGCATTTGTCATTTAACATGACACAACAAACTTTCTTACACACACAATATTTTGTGGAGCTCACACTTTTTGAAGAAAAAAGAAAAAAAAAAGAAATTACGGCACGTAAAATGAATCTCTATAACATTACACAATCATTTTTCCTACAACATAACTCTTATAAAACCCGTATACAATATACTAAAGTTCATGACAATTTTTCTTGTCATGTTTTTGAGTCGACAATGTGACAAGAAGAATGCCGGTGGAGGCCAAATTGAGATGTGCATTGACCGTTGTAATACCTTACGATGGGTTAAAGAATTAAGCCAGATATTGGGTCATGAAGCCATATGAAGGCAACCCCACTTGTGTGGAATGCCGATGAGCTATATATATGGTGTCAACATAAAAAACTCTAGGGCCCACCCAAATATGTCGAGAGCAATAGATACCTCACAATTATCTTGTATAGAGTGGGCTGGGTTGGGGTTGTGTAACCTCCAGGCTAAGGGAGGAAGCATTGGTGTCAATGTTGTTGTTCTTAGGGGACAAAAATTCTCCATGTTCATTGTGAAAGACCAAGACAGAGAGATAGAAAGCAAAGGTGTATGCTTTCACAGTGTTTTTCTCTCAATAAAGGTTTAGAGAATAATTTGTAAGATAATTTAACAAATGATATTAAGATAATTTGGCAAAATATGCTGGGCAAGCAAGTGGGAGACTTGGAACAAAAACATATATAAGATGGATTTTAGATTACTAAGATTGTAAGACAGCATGGAACGAGGTTCAGTTTAGCAAACTTTATCAAATTTAAACACATACATATCATCAAACTTTCTGAACTTTAATCGCATACATCTCACCAAACATTACCAATTACAGATACTGCCTGCTATCTTGCGCACATTGCTTATTGTCCAGATCCTGGTTTTGTCTACTAGTCATTCACTATGACCCAAGTGAATTAAAATAGCTCCTCTATCAATACCTAATGACAAATGACCCACATTAATAAAGGCATAAAATTGCAAAACTCAAGGGAAATTCTTCAAAATTTAATTTGTCAACTATGACTTCGTAACATACCAATTAAAATAAACAGGTGAGGGGAGGTCATAATTTATTTTAGAGTTGTGCAAAATAACCGAATTGAACCGAATTATATTTTTCTGAACTAATTCTGATAATCGAATTGGTTCTATAAACCTGATTAAAAATTGATCTAGACCAAAAGAACTAATTTGAAAAATCGGTTATTTGCATATCCAAACCGGTTCGAATTAAACAAAACATTTTCATTCTTTAAACTAAACAAGTTTAAATCAATTCGATTTGGTATAAATCAGTTTAAATCTATTGGAGAATATTCTTGGATAAGATCTGATCTTATCCAAGAGATCTTATCCAAGAATATTCTCCAATAAAATCAATTTAATTTGGTTCAAGAGAAAATGAGTTTGGGTCAAACTATATCCACCTTATTTTTGACTTTACAACACTAAAGAAGAGAAAATGAATCTTAGGTCAAATTAAGGGAAAATTACTTGTCCTTTTAAATGAGACAATTTATGTCATTTCACTCTCGTAAAGAGGTGAAACTCACACCTTTTTTTTTGTCCACTCTTTCTCCTTCATGATTTATCTCTTTCTCTCATTTAAAATGACATAACTTTACATCCTTTAAAATGATACACATTTTTCCCTCAAATTTGTTGGGTATGGCTCATACTTCGCATGCTGATGAGGGCCCTAATTATCAGGGTCAGCATAAAGGCAACTGGGTGGGTATTGTAATTTTCTTAGTCGTTTGTGCTTGGGCACATGAATAGCTGCTGTTAGGGTTTTGTAATCCTATTTATATTTGCCTTGTAAATCGAGAGACTTGTAACGAGTGGCGGTGAGGTGAATATAGTACAGACAAGCTGGACGTAACCTAAATTGGATGAACCAGGGTAAATCGCTGTGTCTATTCTCTCTCTTTTCTTTTCTGTTTTCGATTTGTGTGTTGTGGATTTCCAACAAAATTAATGTAATATAAAAGAGCTAACTTCTAAAATCATTTATAGCTAGAGTATCTATTGCATTTGATATTATTCTAGCAAGGAAGGGTTGGGATTTTCCTTTCGGTCTCACACAAGTGTCCTTACTTGGCAACTAAGCAACTTGTTCATTGGATCACAAACTTGGAGAGTGTTCATTGTTCAAGGAAGGAAGAGGCCTGTGATAAAAACCACTCCCAATATCTATTGAAAATACTCATCCAATTTGCTCAATTCACCCTGGATAATGATGGGAATTGTTTATCTCATTTAATATGAGATAAATTTATTTTCCTACACTCACATGTATAGGAGAGAGGAGAGAAAAGAGAGAAGAGAAAAAAAAATATAAATGAGTTCATCACTCAATATGCGAGTGTAAAAAATGAGTTTATCTGATGTTAAATGAGAAAACAATTCCTCTATAATAGAAAATTTTGATACCTGCTAGAAAAAATTGAATCTCCTCCCACATTCCCCTCTTGTGACAAGCTACCACTTACATTAGCCTACATGCTTCGCTGCAAATCAAAATGAAATGGAAACTACAATCAGAAACTAAATATTAGCGGTCAATAAGGCAAAATTTTATTTTATGATTAATAAAGTACACGACTAATTTGTTATTGTCGTTAGGTTAATTAACATTTAGAAAATAAAATAAAATTAAGGAACTAGCAAAAAGAACGAAGAAAAGTCCAAGGAGGATTGAAGTTGTGGCGATGTATTAATAAACATGGTTTATCTGTGAACATATTTTATTTTTAGTTTGGAAAAAAATTTAAATTAAATAAAAACGGTATTCTTTTTTTATAAAAGGAAAAAAATATTTCTGATTTTTTTGCAGAATTTTTTTTTCTCTATCAGACTTACATAAAAGTAAATGGGTTTCGGTAACTTTTTCTCTTTTTTCTCTCTATAATGGAATCCATTCATTTTTTATATAAGTGTGATAATTTTTTTATTCTACAGATATATTAAACCCTTTAAAACAAGTATAAAGATATAGAAAAGAAGCTAAAAAATATAAGGAATATGCCCTCAACAAAAGCGCACCCAAAGATTCTAATCTTTCCTAGTTACGTAGTTTTCATCTCCATCCTTTTTCTTCGCCGCCGCCGCCCCCCAAACATAATTTTGAAGTTCCTGTTTGAGGAAAATCGCCGAAAGCGAGGCCCAAAAAAGTGACTAGAAAATCCAACCAAACCAATCACATATTTTTCCCATTTGAAAACTTGATAATTCCAATTGTCCACAACATAAATCATTCAAGTATAATTTTACTGCGAAAATGGCATTTTGCTTTTTTGATCACAGCATACATGACTTTATGCCGGCGCTTATAACTGTGCCATGGTAGTTAAAATTCCGATTTAATTCTGTGATTTTACGATTTTATAATTTTTTACGATTTTTTTTACGTTAAGATTTTACGATTTACGATTTTTTATACTCTTCTGATTTTTGGTAAAATCCTGATTTTAACTAGCATGTCTGTGCAGCCATTACTATATGGATCACATTACAATGACCGGCAAGGTCTATCCTTGGAATCCCACCATTGCCAAAAGTATAAAGAAAAGCAATATTCACATATTCATAGTTTCCTGTGGCACAAGTTTCTGCCAAGGTCCCCTTGCTAGGATAAAAATCAATAATGAGAAAATTGGTATCAAAGTTCCTAGCAAACATGCCATTTTATGCCGCTTTCTTGGCCTAGTTTGAGTCACTAGCTCTTTTTTGAAATTAAGGCTTGGAAAAGAAAGATTTATACAGCTGAAGATTGCAATTTGCTTTGATAGTAATTGTGTTTTACTTGCACAAATGATAGGCGTGCCTTACCAGTTATCCAATATGGTGGGATTATGCATTTTGAATATTATGTAGTGTATATTGCGCGCCATAGAGGAGGCCAGAAGTAGGAGATTTTTTTTTCCAATCATTATTATTGTTATTATTTTAATTTAATTAAGAAAATGTCTATTACTATTCCCTTGTCTTTATGCTACTCTTATTCAACTATTTTATATTCGAAACACCATTCTTTTTCTTTGTTAATCAAACAAATATTTTATAACATTACATGAAAATCAATTAAATAAGGTGAAAATAATCATTGCAATGGACACTCCTTATAATTAAACTTATGATATTATAGTATATTTGTTTAGTAGAAAGACCCGTTATTTCCACCCTGATGCAAATATAGTTTCTATTTTAATTTATCACTGATAAATATATATAGGCACTTAGGTAGGACTAAAAATGAAATTAGTTAATTCATAAATTAGTCATTACACCAAAATTATCATTCAGTTGTCACAATTAGTTAATTCACAATCTTGTAAATTAGTTGTCACAATAAATTCAGAAAGGTGTTTATAATAGAATTTTGAATATAAAATTATTGCCAAATTATGGTTGTGCATGGAGTTTGGACGAGTTTAACATCGTTGAATCACCGAATTGAAAACAATTGACTGAAGAGAAAATTTCAGAAGGAGCATAAACTCAATGATGAGATGAATCAGTTATAAACAGAAACAATAAAAATATTAAAGAACCACGGTAAAAAGTACTTTGCTTAAACATGATTGATACTAGTTGTAGCTAAAACAGGTGACCCCTTATTCATACGTGTCTGATGTCTCATGCGCGCGCCTACATGAATAATTGTAAAAGAGGATATATATCGAGAATGTTAGTTGAACACCAACATGACATTAACATAAATCTACACTACATATATATAATTATAAAAGGATATTGGTAACAGTAATAGAAAATCCCACCATCGAAGTTGAGAACACCGTTCATTGGTACCACTACAATGGGACTCCTAATAATACTTCAACCCATTCGAGTGCACCAGAATCCACAATATGAAATATTTGGAGAAATACAAGCAGACTTGAAATATTAAAACCTGCATTGAGAAGAGAACAGCAATTTATCCAACAATTATGAAAGCAAAACAAGAAAACCAATAGCCAATAAATAGAAGCAAATGCACGCTGAAATCATCCATTCAGCTATAAGATGAATACCTGTACAGTTCTCAAGTCACGCCCTTCGAAAATGCTTTTCCATTGCAGTTTCCTCACCCTATCGATCAGTTTTCACGAGTTTATCGTTCCTCTAAAGTTCGTCAAAAATCAATCAAGAAAGGAATGTACTACTTCAAGACGTCACTAAAGAAGAGAACTAAAATTCAAAGACCAGAAAACCATGGTAACATTTTGAGGAAGGATGATAAACCAGTTCAAATTATTTTGCCCAATTTCAGATCATTGTGAGATTATGATACAATCCCCACAACAGAAACAAACCGGTAAGACAATTTTCAGACATTAACTACTTGTTCCGTGAGACAAGAGAAAACAGAGCATGCACACAGCCCACAACCATAGCAAGACGACTTGATGGGAAATATGCCAAAAACTAATGTATCCTTATTTTACCACTGACTGGTTCAGCATACATTTAAATTACAATACAAACATAACATTACTTCTATTTGCCGTAAAGTTGCTGAAACAAGAGATATTTTAACAATTAAACTAATTTTGTCAAATGGGCATTGCACATTTCTTTTGAGAATGTCCTAGCATATGGCAGCGACCGCATTGAACAACTCTTTTGGGACGCTTAAAGTTCTCCACTCGTAGAACCTTCTTTTTAGGCCTTCCAGGTGGTCGGCGAGTCTTTGGCGGGCGAATTATGATATCAACCCTTGCACCTCCTCCACCTTCTGCTCCTTCACCCTGTTCTCTCCATTGAATCTTCTCTGGAATAGGATTTATCGTCTGTGAATAGGTCATTCTGTAACTTTGTACAGTGAAGCATGGTTCAGCAAACATATGGGCATTGTGCCCACAAGAAATAAGTGCAGCAGCAGCATGGGCACAAGGTAAACCATACAGCTGCCAACGCCGACAAGAGCACTCACGACTACGTATATCCACAATATTGGTCCTCTCAGTTGACACAATTTCAAATTCAACTTCATTTGCCCGGAGTACTTGATAGCAATGAGCATCAGCAATTGCCTCCAAAATACGCTTCTCAGCAGACGGTACAAGAATTGATGTCCACCTCATGCCCATATCCTGCCGATCATTAAACCAAATTGCCATCTGCTGTCGGATGTGTTCCATCATCTGCACTATAGGGAGCTCATGACATTCAAGGGCCCAGTTATACAACAATTCTGTTACCCCAAGTGTGAAATGGCCATATCGAACACCATCAAAGTATGCCACAGCCCAGAGATGGGGAGGAAAGAGTTGAAACCAAGATATAACATCCTGTGATATTTCTATCATCTCATTGATCTTGCTTTCAAATTCAGCAGCTGTGAGGGCATAAACAGCATTCCAAAAGATGTTCACCAACTTTGTGTTTTTAAATGTATCTCGAAAATTTTCACTAACATAACGCAGACAGAAACCATGAGAGGCACTAGGAAAATGTGTTTCTACTGCCTCCACCATGCCTCTTTGCCTTTCAGATAGTATCGTCAGTCTAGGCATGTTTTCAGTGTTTACTCCTAGAAGCTTTCGCAATTCTGACATGAACCACATCCAGTTTTCATCACTTTCAGTATCGACAACAGCAATGGCCAAAGGAAACAAAGCATCATCAGCATCAACAGCTGCAGCACAAAGTAATGTACCTAGGTATTTTCCTTTAAGATGTGCTTTGTCAAGCTCTAAAAGTGGCCTACACGCATTTATAAACCCATAAATTGATGCACGATAAGAAATAAACAGGCGTTGAAAGCAATTTTCTTGTCCAGTGGCAACAACAGATGCAATGCTACCAGGGTTGGTTTTCCTTATTTGCTCACAGTATGCAGGGAGAAGACGGTAACCTTCTTCAAATGTTCCATGAAGTGCAGCCATGCTTCGCTCCTTCCCACGCCAAGCTTGCATGTAAGAAACAGCAACTCCATGCTGATCACGAATATCCTGAAGTATTTCCCTTGGTTTGTATTGTGGATTATCTCGAATGCGTGCTTCTACAGATCTTGCAACCCAACCCACTGATGCCTGCTGATGATGAAGGTTGCAAACTCCCTCACAAGTATGCTCTCCTTGCAAGGTTCTTATAGTAAAAGTTGGAACACCAGGACATTTTGCTACATGGACACGCCATGGGCACCCTTCTTTGGAGCATTTTGCTATAAAACGACTGCGATCTGACTTAACTATCCGAAGATCAAAATGCATAGCTATGGCAATATCTTTCAATGTTCTCCGGCAGGTTTCCACATCTGGAAACTCTTGCCCAATGACTAAAGGATGTTCTGCTATAGTAACAGAAGAATTATCTAAATCTAAAGAATGATTAGCCATATATCCACCAAAACAAGGAAATAGCTATGTCATGTGACTCTAAGGGTTTCCATCATATTTATGAATTATTAAGGGCTTCCAAGGATATGCATTGAAACACACCACCATATTAAACTTCCTCAACTCTGCAATACATAAGAGAACACATAATTAAATTCTATAAATAGTTCAGAACAGAAAATCATTGAAACAAAATGGAAATATGGAATTATCATACGAGTAAAGAACATAAAAGCTGTAAATAAAGTAAGTAACTGATAATGGATGTTCAATAATAGGATTATCCAAAATGAGAAAAATGAATACAATTGCAGTAGGAGAAATAGTAAAGGGACCCATCAGTAGACTTAGAAAATAAATCTAGGAACTTATATACTAATGTAAGAGTTTGTGAATAGATTATTGCTTGTTCAGCCTGAACATTATGAGCCCACCAACAAAAGGGAAGTATGTAGAAGTAAAACATTCACCTCTTGCATAAAATTAACGTATTCTTTGATAACTAAAAGTTCAAATTTTATAAGAAACCCAAGAAACACCATTTGAACTAAGAATCTTTCATCAGCAAGGAAAATCAGTTGCTTTGATTAATCTAATCACAACCACTATGATTTTGTATTCTTCTAAAACCTACCATTTGTGGGTCTGTATAACTTAATCCATAGAAAAGATTAAGCAAATGAAACAGGCTAAAAAGTATAACATGCTATCGAGATACAGGAAGCAAATTTATTAGAAGTTGATCCTAATTTTTCATCTTTCCAACTCAATTCTAATTAAAGAGGATAGGGATTGAAATCAATCATTACATGGATGATATAATTGCAGAAGTATAATGGTTTGAACAAAACCACTAAACGATTCTTGCTAGATTATACTTTCATGCAATATGATTGGTATTGTTGCCATGTGACCGGATGTCACTGGTTCGATTCATGAAATGAGCCTCATACAAATGCAAGTATGGCTGCCTACTATGGACCCACATAATGGGTCTGATACTTCCCTGAACCCTATGCAGAGCATGAGCTTTATAGCACTAGGTTGACCCTTTTTTTATTCTTACACATAATATAAATTTAGAACAATGGTCAGCCTGATCAAATGGTTGCAGGTGAAGAGTTCTTCACAAAACCTTATAGAGGGCAAACCTCGGTGCACGAGGCTCTCCAACTTTACAAGAGTAGGAGCGATGGTCAATTGGACGCAGCCTTACACATTTTACAAAGAAGCTATTTCTCGGACTCGAACTCGTGACCTTATAAAAGGATAATTTTTATCCTTGGAAGTTTCTATTGAACTTTTTTCATTACTTTATCCATAATCCGCATTTATAGTTGCAGTTACCTATAACTTATCCATCACCATCAAAGCAAACTGATTAAAGTTAACGGAAAATCCGCATTTCTGATTATAGTAACCTAACTGATTATAGAATATGATTTTGTCCTTGCCAACATGACCTTGCCTAAACTGCCCAAGTGGTTGATTGGCCTATCACACAATTTAAGTGATTACTACTTAATAAGTTGTTACCTGCACAGTACTGCTTCATTGCGTTTGTTTTTTAGGAAAAGTTCAACATGATCACATTCTCAGGCAATATAGGACATCACAGTAACAGCAAGCTCATTTTTGTAAACAAGAATCTTGTGAATCCTAATAATAAAGTTCAAGAAACGAAGAACATTTTCATCTTTATACCTATTAGTAACATCGCCCATTAGGATCCAGAAACTGAGGTTATGGGTTTTATTCAACCCCCCCACCACCCCCCCCCCCCCCCCCCCCCACTTCTCTCTCTTCCCTCCCTCTTCTACTACTGCTTCTGAAATCAGGGTTCTATTTTCAAAAAGCAAACAGGGTCAACAGCCAAGGAAGCGGCACATTCAAGTTTCAAATCACGGAACAAGGACCACATTGCTCACCTAGGTCACAACCTCTGTATCAAACGAAGCGCTGGGCAAGACGATAACTGTTCACACTCACTTCGGATCCAACAATTTGCAATCTGGAAATTTCAATTTCTGAATCCATAATTCAAATTTCGTAAACTACGAGGTGGGATTTTTCCTTGGTAAGAGAATTCGGAGAGAGCGACCAACATATATACATTATATAAAATTGAAATTTTTTTTTTGGGCACAAACAAAATCGAGACATCCAGAAACTTGTACGCGAAGCTAATTGGGGATATGATGCGGAAGAAAACGAACAAGAGGCGAAGAAAGGGAATTTCGTAGGAAATATGTGTAATTAATAACTATCGAGGAAGAAAGATAAAAAGAAAGAGCACCTTAGTTGATGTTTCTTTCTTCGTATTTGAATATTTGATAGCAGCGGTTTCTACTTACTGTTGTTACTTCTGTTCCTCTTTCTTCTTCTTCTTCTTCTTCAACTTTGGTTTCTGCAATTTGAGGAGAGATGGTGGACCGCAGTAAATCAACTTCTATTTCTTTTTGTTCTTCTGTGATTTTGTTGTTGTTTTTTATATTTAATTTCATTTTCAGAGCAATTTTTATTTTTTTTACAAATTTGATAAAATGTTTTTATCTGTAATTTTTTTTTTTTTCTATTTCACACCCTTCTTCAATTTTTATATTCATGTCGGTTTCATGCAATATCCAGCCTTGTGAAATATGAAATCATAGTTCTGGAGAGAATTCACGTAACATTTTTCCGACCCAAAATTAGGTGAACAAATACATTGTAAAAAAAAAAAAAAACTTAATTCCAATGCTATTTTTTTTATATAAGAAAGCAAACAAAAGAAACAATATCTTAATATTCTCCTATGTTATTCAACAGAGTTTTTTTTTAGGTATGACCCATACTTTGATGAGGAAGGTTTTTATTGACGTAAGTTAGGAGGAAGATAATTAGGATCCCGTTTTCATGTGAACAATGTTTCCTGACCCACAGAAATTAGATAAGCATCTGATTTATTGTAATTTTTTTCTTAATAAAGTGGACTTGATCTCTTGAATAACCGATGTTCTGTCAGAGTTTTCTTATTCTATTTATATTCTCATCGTAAATTAATGACTAACGAGTGGCGATAAAATAAATCTATTACAAACAAGTTGAGTAGTTTATATTAGATGAATTAGGATAAATCGCCGTATTCAATTAAAAAAAATTCATACAATTTTTTTATTATTATACAAGGGTGTTGATATGTTTTCTGATTTTTGTTTTTATTTAGTTTGATTATTTCCTTCATGTTAAGCGAAAAATTTAATATTTTTCTTCATGTGTTTTAGCCGATTTTATTTTGTAGTATTGTTGAATCAATGAAAAGTATTGAAGACTAATATAGAGGAGAAGGTTTATTTTCTACTCTATTCACTGTTTTTTTTTTTTTTGCAGCATATTTTTTTTCATGTTTTTTTTCTTTTGCCTTTATAGGGTGCTGTTCAATGTGCGGGATAATATTGAGCACAAGAACTTTGGCTCATTTTTTGATCATTTCTATTTGGTAAGACAATATGCATCTCAACACTGTTGTTGTTATATGAATTGTTATATATGAAGATATCTTATTATTGATTGAGCGTATCCACGACTGGTAATAATTGTTCTGGATAGTATTTAGCGCAAAAATTATTCCTCATTTTTCGATGATTTATCTTTGGCAGGACAATTTGCATCTCATATTCTCGTAACTTTTGATGTTGTATGAATTGCTGTATATGAAAATAATCAATTATAAAGTACATAACTATTTTTTATTTGCATAAAATACTGACACAGTTCTTTCTTTTAGTGATTAACCAACAACAAACGCCGACAAAATTTTTAATCTTTTTCCTCCGTGCATCGCACGGGTACTGCACTAGTTTTTTTTTATATAAGAAAGCAAACAAAATAAGCAATATCTTAATATTCTCCTATGTTATTGAACAGAGTTTGTTTTTTAGGTATGACCCATACTTTGAAGAGGAAGGTTTTTATTGACGGGAGTTAGCAGAAAGATAATTAGGATCCCGTTTTCATGTGAACAATGTTTCCAGGCCCACAGAAATTAGATAAGTATCTGATTTATTGTAATTTTTTTCTTAATAAAGTGGGCTTGATCTCTTCAATAACTGCTGTTCTGTCAGAGTTTTCTTATTCTATTTATATTCTTATTGTAAATTAATGATTAACGAGTGACGATAAAATAAATCTAGTACAAACAAGTTGAGTAGTTTATATTAGATGAATTAGGATAAATCACCGTATCAATTTTTTTTTTCTCTTCTCATTTTATGATTTGTATGCTGTGTAAAGTGTCGATTTCCAACATTTCTTAGTGTCAGTTCGAATACAAGTGAAATAAAGTGGTTTTTTTTCTTCCTAATTATGTCTGAAAATTAATTTAACAAAATGCATCTCGTTTCTTTTTTCATTCCTTCTCCCCTTTTCGTTGTTCGTCTAGATAAGGCTTTTATGAGATTTTCTTAGAACTCCCTAACACCTTACTAATTAGATTGTAATATGTAAATAAAGTAATTTTAAAATGGAAGTTATTAATCTCATGTTGCTTGAGATACTTCTCTCGTGTGAGATAAATATATGGGATCCATACTTTAAAACAAAAGAAGAAAAAATAGAAAAAACTGGTACAAAATTCGATGAATGTATAAAATGAGATAACTATCTCCAACGAAATAAGAAAAATATTTTCCTCAATTTATTTGTTTATATAAGTCTTTCACCAACCTTCATTTTATGGTCTGTTTAGAATGCTTGTCATTTTAAATTATTTTTAATTAAATAAAGTAATTCGTTGAGACTCACAATATCATTGAGTTAAACCGCAAAAAAAAATTAAGTTAATATTTTTTAATAAATTAATTACGCATTAAAAATTATACCTTTTCTTTTGCAAGAACGATTACAGTTTTGAAAATAATTACACATTTATTGCACAATATGACGGTCAATTTGGGCGTCACTCTCAAGAGGCAATCACATCTAATTTAGGCGTCACTCATCAGGTGTTGACATATGTCATATTTTTTTCCAAAAATAATAATAATTTAATCATAAAACTTCTGAAGGCCATAACTTTTGACTCGGGTATCCAAATCAGGTAATTCTTTTTTGATTTCACATAAATTTTCGAGATCTACGCAATGACATCTCATTTGACATATTTTATTTCTCACAAACACAATTTAAATTTGCAAGAATGATATTATAAAAGCGGTTAAACTCAAAAGCCTCTGAGTTCTGGGTTTGTGATTTAATAAAAAAATTAATAAAATTTTGATTTGTGATTTAAATTTTTTTTATAATAATTTTTTTATTATAACAAAAATTTGGTTTGTGATATAAATTAAAAATAAAAAAAATTACTATTAATAAGGAAAACAAAATAAAGATTTGATTTGTGATTTAAACTAAAAAATCAATTTTAAAAATCTGTAGAAATAAAAAAAATAATTAAATAAATATTCTAAATCTATAAGGAAGAAGGATATTATTTTTAAAATTAATGATTAATGCTATAAGCTTCTGGGTTATTATTCGTGGTCTGAAATTAATGATGACTTATGAATGTTTTCAAAAATAAAATTACCTAAATTAGGCGTGATTGCCTCTTGATTGAAATCCAATTTAGACGTGATTGGTGACGTGTCAGGTGTTGACACGTGTCATATTTTTAAACTCAGAAGCCTCTGAGTTCTGGGTTTATGATTTATTATAAAAAATAAATAAAGATTTGATGTGTGATTTAAACTAAAAAAATAAAAAAAATTATTTTTATTATAAAAAAATTTTGGTTTGTGATTTAAATTAAAAATAACAATTATTATTAATAAGGAAAAGAAAATAAAGATTTGATTAGTGATTTAAACTCAAAAATTAATTTGAAAAATCTGTATTAATAAAGAAAATAATTAAATAAATATTCTAAATCTCTAAGGAAGAAGGATTTTATTTTTGAAAAACATTCATAAGCCATCATTGATTTCAGACTACGAATCAAATCACAAATCAAATCTTTATTTATTTTTTTAATTTAAATCACAAATTAAATCTTTATTTATTTTTTATATTAAATCATAAACTCAGAACTCAGAGGATTCTGGGTTTAACCGCTCTTATAATATCATTCTTGCAAATTTAAATTATATTTGTGAGAAATAAAATGTATCAAATGAGATGTCATTGCGTAGATCTCAAAAAGTTACGTGGAATCAAAAAAAGAATTACCTGATTTGAATACCCGAGTCAAAAGTTATGGCCTTCAGAAGTTTTATGATTAAATTCTTATTTTTTTGGAAAAAAAATATGACACGTGTCAACACCTGATAAGTGACGCCTAAATTAGGCGTGATTGTCTCTTGAATGACGCCCAAATTGAACGTCAGCAATAAATATATAATTATTTTTAAAACTGTAATAAATGTATAATTAATTTATTAAAAACCATAAAATTAATTTTTTTGCGAAGTGTTAAACTGGTAAAATGCTAATATATTTTAACCGAACTTGTAATGGGTCGAGTTCAAACTAGCCAGGCCAACCCATTTATTAGCTCACTAAAAACTAAATAAAAAACTTTGGTTGCATAATTGTCTTCGTTTGGCCTTACTTGGATTCGATGAAGAAAGAGAATGATGCTCTGAATTGACCAAAAAAAAGAAAGAAAGAGAAAGCGCTTCCAACTTCCACTCTGTGTCTCCAGAACCATGATCATGTACACTTCATATTCTACCGGCTAACTAGAAGAACTATTGTAATTACATTAAGTTATTTCTTTTTTGAACTTACTAACTGAAAACCATAAAGTTGTTTCCAACTGAAAATCCTAATCTATGTATAGAATATATGTAAATTAACCATTACTATAGAAAGATAACAGGCATATACCCCAAAGTTGAATTAAGATAATAACCATATATTTATGGAAAGAAAGGTGCAGGTCAAAATGTAACCGTAATAAACCAAAGGAAAACGTTGGATTCCATCTATGTATGGCCTGTAAAACAATAAATCAATAATAACATGGTGCAACTGATTTGAATTCCAAATTTGTCGGAGTCCATGTAAAAGGACACCTCATAATCATGTCCACTCAAATCTGCCCCCTTTTCTCTCCTATAGTTCTGAGGAAATTTCATCATTTTTTTTTTCATTCCCCTCATGCATGCATGGCTTCCTCTTCCTTTCACCTTTTTTACTGCTGATTTCTCTTTCATTTATATAGCCTCTGCTCCTTTCCTGCGGGGTCCTTCATTCTCATTTGGGGGAACCACCGTCCATTAAATTAATTTTTTTCAGTTCTTAGTGCTTAATTTAACCAAAGAGTTTAGCTTTAATTTTTTTCTTTCCCTTTTTTTTTTATGTTGGGATCGTTCTTGAATGAAAAGATTGTTTAGAACAAAAACCTACATATATACTATATACCTACCAGGATTCCTTCTTGTTGGGCGATTTTTGATTTGGTTCTAGATCCTTACAAGAATGAATTGCTTTCCGTGTTTTACAAAGAGTAAGAGAAGCAATAGCAAGAGGGAGCATGAGCCCATGCCACAGGAAAACGTTATAACAAGAACACCAGGTAAGTTCCCATAGCGGGATATATTTCCTTTTTTTTTTTCTTTTCTTTTTTAATAAAGAAATTATTTGGTTCAGTGGCATTTATTTAATCAAACTATATAAGTCTTATGAAAAACCTTCAAGATAGATAGCATTTGGAAGGACTAATCAATTTGTTTAACTTGTTAATTTATTGTTTGCAATTTTTTAATTAGCAATTTTATTTTTGACTTATCTCCATGCATGAGACTTATTGGGGTGACATGCAGATATAAAGAAACCAACTATTCAAGTTGATACATCAAATATTCAAGCACAAAATTTCACTTTCCGGGAGTTAGCAATTGCAACAAAGAATTTCAGGCAAGAGTGCTTGATGGGTGAAGGTGGCTTTGGCAGAGTTTACAAAGGAACATTTCCTGCAACCGGACAGGTCTGATCATATATAAGGCTTTTAGTTTTTAATGCAGAAAAATAAATTCAATAATTTCTTCTTCTTTTTTAACCATTGAGTGTGTGCAATGTTTTTATCCCCTCTCTGCAGGTGGTAGCTGTGAAGCAACTCGACCGAAATGGGATACAAGGCAGCAAGGAATTTCTGGTTGAGGTTTTGATGTTAAGTCTCTTGAACCATGACAATCTGATCAAACTCACTGGTTATTGTGCTGATGGTGAGCAACGTCTTTTGGTGTATGAATTCATGCCTGGGGGATCTCTAGAAAGGCGTCTTCTCGGTAATCACCCAATTTCTTTCTTTGTATAATCTTTTCTTCAATTTTTGACTCATGCCTTAAGCATATATATATATATGTGTGCGCATAATCTTTGCCTTAGCCATAAGATTATTTGTGCTTGTTGGTTTTTCTAGTTAGTTTTGAATTTTGATACAAGTTTGTCTATTCCTCCTGTTGAGATATATAGTCTCACATTGGTTGTATGTGCAATTAATGTGGAGTTTATAAGATTTTGGGCACTCCCACCCCTTGAGCTAGCTTTTGGGATGGTGACCTCAAGGTTCTTTACATGGTACCAGAGCCTCGCCACCCCCACTTTCTCTTGTGGCGTTTCTTAGCACAGGTAGGCTGGGCCTGTTGCATGTCCACTCTTCAAGCCCAATGGGCTCTTGTGCGAGGGGGCGTGTTGAGATATATAGTCCCACATTGGTTGTATGTGCAACTAATGTGGAGTTTATAAAGTCTTGGGCACTCTCACCCCTTGAGCTAGCTTTTGGGGTGGTGTACGTATCCCAAGGCTCTTTACACCTCCACAATTTTATTTCTTTGTATAATCTTTTATTTTGCATTTTGGCACAGAGCGCAGACCAGATGAAGCTCCATTAGATTGGTACAGCAGAATGAAAATAGCTTCTGCTGCTGCGAAAGGACTATGGTACTTGCACGACAAGGCCAATCCCCCAGTTATATACCGGGACTTGAAGTCATCGAATATCTTGTTGGATAATGATCATAATGCAAAACTATCTGATTATGGACTGGCCAAACTTGCTGGTAAAGATAAGATGAACATTGTACCTACAAGAGTTATGGGTACCTATGGTTACAGTGCTCCAGAGTATGTAAGAACAGGTAACCTCACCTTGAAATCGGATGTGTACAGTTTTGGAGTTGTCTTGCTAGAGCTCATAACTGGACGACGAGCCATTGACACCACCAAACCAAACGATGAGCAAAACCTAGTCTCATGGGTAAATTATAACATCCTCTTTTGAACATTGTTTTGTCCTGTAATAATATGGGAATATAAATTTATTTTACACATGAGACTTATATGTATGGGTAAATTTCCTACAACATCAAAAATATAAATGCCTAATAATATATGTATATATGAGAATGATAAACCAATTAAGTCCAACAGCTTTGATCTCCTAATATTTGCTGTTATGACTGAGCAGGCACAACCCATATTCAGGGAACCAAGAAGATATCCTGATATGGCAGATCCACTTCTGAATAAAAATTTCCCAGAAAAGGATCTGAATCAAGTTGTTGCAATAGCAGCCATGTGTTTACAGGAGGAATCAGCAGCACGTCCTTTGATGAGTGATGTTGTAACTGCTCTCAGTTTTCTTTCCACGGCTCCTCCAGCGGTTGTTCCTGCCCCTCTCCCTCCTGCCACCTCTGCCTCCTCCCAGAAGAGTGCTGCTGGTGAAGGTGAAAGCCAAAGTGACAGTGAGAGTGAAACAGAAACTAACAGCCATAGTTCCAATGAAGAGGAGGATAATAAACAGGTTGTAGCAAGTGCAAAATACCACGAAATTGAGGATGTCTCAGAAACTGAATATGATTATTATGAGAATGAAAACCAACAAAAATATAGTCCACAAGATAACAAGGAGTTTTCCTCCAAGTCAAGCCACAAAAGCAGCACCAGATCAAGGAATGGAACCGTTTCTTCTGGCCGCTCTAGTTCAGTTTCAGAAAATGGAAATGGAAATGGAAATGGAAATGTCTCTACCAGCCGCAAAAGCAGCAGTAGGAAGAAAAATGGTGTAAATAGTAATTTAAGCCAGAAGAGCAGCAAAAAATCAAAGAGCAGTAAGAAATCTTCAGAGAAAAGTTTAAGCCAAAAGAGCAGTAAAAAATCTTCAGTCAAAGTTTCAAGCCACACGACAAGCAATGGCATGAGACCAGAGGATGAAAGCCATTCATCCCTTTCACATAGAGATGTTTCCATAAGCCGTAATAGCAGCAGTGGGGAGTCACGGGGTGAGGGTGTTGTTTATGAGCGTAGCGGACAAGGAAATGTATCTTTTGGCCTAATCAGCAGTGAGAGTGTTCAGTCAGGCCATGATGACTCCGACAAAGAAGGGAGCAACATACATTTATTACATCATAACGGAGATGCTCATCATTTCGATCGTGCCAGCATGGGATCAGATGAGGGAAGTTTCAACCTTTTTGAGCATTCCACTAGCAGGGGATCAGATGAAAGAAGTGTTCATTCGTAATAGAATTATCAATCCTTGGTTGCAACTTGCGATGATACATTTTGAACAGGCATGCAGGCATGCATGCATGAGCGCACTTTGACATGTTGCTTTGTATATTTCTGTCAAAGTCTGGTTGTTTATACATCAGTTTGGTTGAGCGAGACAAGTATACAAGATAACCGAATCTGGTATCCTCAAAATTAACACTTGAAACTCGAGCATCCGTGTGCATTTATATATTTGTTTTGTTTATATAGTAGGCAATTCAGTTATGTTTATGTATCTATCTTTAGTTGAAGATCAAGAGTGAAGATAACCTTGAATTTCCATAGGGGATTGTTGGAATTATTGGAAAAGGGATCCTTATCTGTATTATATAATAATTATGGCAATTCTAATGGTATTACTGTTCTCAAAACTTACATGTATGTATGCGGAAATCAAATCTTGTTTCTGAGCTTGATATAGAGTAGTCATGACAGATATCCCTATTGATTCATTGGATCCAATATAGAAGTTTGTTTAGTGGCATCCTGAAGAGAAGAAGAATGTAGGATCATGGGCTCAAATACCATTTTTTTCTCAGGTTCAAATCTAAAAGTAAGCAAATTCTAGTTCTTTGGATTTAAGACCAGCTGGTTGGAAATCCCTTGTAAAATATCATAACTCCTCAAAGATCCGAGTTCTTCAATAAATTGAAAGAAAGGCCTCGGTCACATATATCTTATATAGACTAATATCAGATGCACACTGACATAACAATAACAAACAGAGGATCTGATTAGCCCACATGTCATAATTCAGAGAAAGTAAACAGGAGAAAGAGAAATTGTTGCATGGTTAATTTAATTTGCCTTCGTTATATTGATAGGGAGCAGGAAAAGAAAATTCGGGAAGGCAATGATAAACTGAGAGAACTTAAGACTCTAATTCTTAGTAACCATCCTCTTTACGTATGAAGTAAGAGAAACAAATAAAGCGCAGCAAAGGAAGAGGTACAAAATTTTGACTACACATATGTCATGGTCAAGCGAGGACTCTTAATCTATATAACATGGATTAGGAGTCACATATTTTTGTTGTGAAGTTGGTTGTTATTGACGTCCTCGTCAGTGCACGCAAAGCTTACTTTAAGATTACGCGATCGAGCATTATGGCTCTTCTTCATGCACGACTTCAACTTAGGGACCTGCTCGGAATTATGGATGATTCCACTGGGTAGTTTTGCTGCATCACGTGAATTGTACTCGCTAGAAGCATTGAATTGGGCCTTGTTACCTCCCTTCCTCTGTTTCACAGATGACGCGGACGTGGACGCGGACGTGGAAGCCGAGGAATGTTTTATGAAGCATTTAGTTTTATTGGAGTTAGAGATTTTTCGTCCTCCGTGGCAATCCTGAACGGCATAAGGATCGCGATTTTGTTTGAGAGAGAGAGGGGTGTTTGTGTAGTTCAACAAATTACGGATGGTGTGACAAGGGACGATGAAGAAAACGTTGCCCGGTCTGAGAATGGATTGTGGGCTGACAACAATCCAAGGAAACCTGAAGATGTCAGGGCGCGTGACACAGTGTCTTGGGTTCTTTTTCATGACTTCAGAAGCCATGAGTGGGTTGGCGTGTTTCTCAACAAAGCCTCCAGGGTGGACCAGTTTGAGGACGTGGCTCTCTCTCCTGGTCTTGCACAATAACCCCATCGTTCGGTTTCAGTTTCAGTTTCAGTTTCAGTTTCAGTTTGTGTCTGTCGGGAATGGGAAGGGAGCAGAGGAAGAGGTGAGACCCGTATTTAAGGAGTCATTGTTGACAAAAGCAGACAAGACATGCACATCGCTTGTAATGATATAATTGTAATATAGTATGATTTGGCGGAGATGTTAAGGATGGACTAGCATGGATGTGGTCGTCCTAAGGCCAAACAAATATCTCACTTTCCCTACTCGCCAAATCCCATTTTGGGTATTGCCTCTTCGCTCCAACACTTTCATAGCCACTCACGGTTATTATTGTCTGAAGGTTTTTCCAAGTTACTCTTTGAGAAAGTAAATTTAAGCATATCATATTTTTATTCTTGGGAAATCATCATTTTACCTCTTTTCAAAAACTATATATCAATTTGGTCCTATCTGACCATGTTTACTGTAATATGCTCGAGTAATTGGGTTAATTACTCGATTAGATGAAGGCAAAAAGTAACTAAAATTTGGATCTATAAATATTTTTTATTTAAACTAAATTCTAATATCTTGTACATGTATAAATGAGTTTAAGGTGAGTATTTGTGGTTCCTTTACAATAGACGACAATCCTCATCCAATTCAAATATGTAAATGAAAATTATCATATTTGATATGAGATGGATATATTATTTTTATATGTAAATGAAAATTATCGTGTAATTTAACTATCAATTTTCTCTCTCGCTCCTATATTCTCACTTGTCTCTCCCGTCATTTAATTTTAGAAAAAAAAATTAAAATGATAATAATAATAATATGTATAGTATTATAAAAAAGGAACTTTCATACCTAATTTGTTAATTAAAAATGATACTTTTTCAAAACTTAAAGTTGTATATTAAAATATAAAATTCATTTTGTAATAACAAGTATAATTTATTATTATTATTATTATTATTGATTGGCACTCCGTTTATGTCAATATGTAGTTTGAATTTTTTGTTAAAAAAAAAAAGTAATAATAAGTGGTGTTTGAAGTGAATTCTAACTATGGTTAAAATTTTGAAACAAGTTATAACGCTAATACTTTGAAAAAGTTATATTCTAAATTATACTCAAAGAGTTACATTCAATTCTTTTGTTTAATTATTTAATTTTTTTTTTTCTATTTTTCATTTTTAATTTGTTTTTGAATAAATTATATTAATATTTTAGGAATAACCGAAATGTGACTAAATTGAAATAATTTCCTTTATAATAATAAATAAGTATAAATTATTGATACAGGAAGAGAAAAACGAGCGATTATTTGCCTTGTCCCAACCCAACTTCAATTTTCCCCTTAATTATTGATATGTAAATCAATTAGCAAAAACGCGATAATTCCTTTTAGCTCTAAAAAAAGGTGTTGATGAGCATTAAAGTGGCCCTTGTAATGAATGAACTTGATCGGCTGTAATTTTAGTCCAGCCTCATCAGGACCCGGCCCACAACTAGCAGCACCAAGTAATATTTTTTTAAGGTTGAATTATTATTAATTTTTTAATTACAAAGTAGCACTCGAATTCGAAACAAATGGTATGTAATTATGTATTGTAGCGCTAAACTGATGTCATGTCACAATTGATCTTTATTTCTTTACTACATAAACAAACCTTACCTATAATATTTTTTTTTTATATTACGACTAAAGGTTTTTAAAAATTAGAGAATTCGAATTTAAAAACTGTAAAATAAGAAGTAAATTATATTATTATATATTATACTAAAAAAATTATTATTAAATGGGTCAACATGTACTAATGAACTATAATATTTGACATAAAATACGAGGTAGGTCTCAACTCAGTCGAGTCGTGAGTCTATTTATTTCACTTTTATCACCATTTCTTCTGCATTTACGAGGTTAATCTCATAGATAACTTCATATAGAATTATTGGCTTCATCACCATTTTTTGGTAGTTGCTGAGCTGTTCTACCCCTCCCTAAAGGATAATATAAGCAAAAGCAAGGAAAGAGTTTCTGATGTACACGCATATCAATTTATCATGAAATGGGAGGAGATCTACATATACCAGGGCAGGACAATCAACAAATTATCGAATCGAAACCAATTGTATCTCAAAACATTATTATGAAATCTGGAGGATGCTATAATAAAATTAAGAGAAAACAAAAAAGTACCTATGAATTCAAATTGCTATATATTAGTCTATAACACGCTTTTAAATCCAAGATATCAATATGGTTGACTGCAACAACATTTTGATTTTTTGGACCCGCAGTTCGCCAGAGCTCCTTTACTTGGAGCATTTAAAGATCTGCAACCGAGAGAGAGCCATAAGGGTCAAGGGAAATATTTCTATGTACACCAAACTTGTTTGTTTGTCCATTCATAATAGTTGTATGCTGAAAATAGTATTACTCGTAATATACATCTTAATCTTCCAACTCCAAATTAGCATAGATTTTCAAGTTTGATCACACACATACGTATATGACAGCCAGCGCAGTATCTTTTATGTCAACGAGGAGTCAATTTGGAGGACTTAGAACTAGAGTTGGTTGTTGTTGATGAGGACTCATCCTGCTTTGCCTTCTGAAGAAACATAAAACTATTGTCAATTTGATAAGCACTAATGACATTGGCTTGTGCAAATTAACTTGTAAATAGACTCTATATATCTCTAGAGTTATGATTGAGTTTCAAAGTTACTAGACATATATATATATACCATCTTAGTTTCCGTGTCCCTGCAGACCTTATCCAACTCCTCAAAAACAACCTCAATGGTTGGACGACCTTTGCTTGATTTGGCAACACACAGGACTGCAATATGTAAGATTGCTTCAAAGTCTGCCCTATCAAGTTTTCCATTTAGCCTTGGATCTTCAAAATCCGACAGTGGACGCTTTCCCATACTCACATCTCTTGCCTACAAAAATCATTTCAAAACATTGCACTTTTGAGTTGAATGCATGTATATGCATGCATTATTTATTGTCCTTTTTTTAATTTCTGAACTGTCCAGGAAGTATACCTTCCTAGTGAGCTGATCTCTGGCATCAAGATCCAACTCTATGACTTTCTGTCCTGACAGGATTTGCAAAGCAACAATACCAAAACTGTATACATCACTGGCACAGGTTAGCTTGGCATTACTCATGTATTCTGGATCCATGTAGCCTATTGTTCCTCTAACATCAGTAAAAACCTTGCTCTCTTCCATCCCCATCATCTTTGCCAGTCCAAAATCAGACAGTTTTGCTTGGTATTTCTCAGTCAAGAGGATGTTCGTAAGCTAACAATTAAAATCAGTATGAGGCATTATCATAATTTTAACTGAAAACATTATTGTATACATAAGTGCATTTTTTTAATTAAGTACCTTTATATCTCTATGGACAACACATCCCTCTATATGATGGTGGAGATACTTGAGTGCGAATGAACAGTCTCTCAAAATTCTGACTCTCGTTTCCCATGTCAACCATCTGTCTCTTCCTGAACAGGCTCAAACACACACACACAAACACGTCAACAACATACACAAAGGAAATTCTAGATATAAGAAGATTTCCTAGCAACCAAGGTAGCTAAAATAATCCAGTGACAAAAAGTCATCAACTCCTATGGACAACATAGCAAATCATTGATCAAGAATCAAGAGCAGAGAACATTACTCAAGAGATGTTGAGCTAGATTCCCGTTTGCACAAAACTCATAGACTAAATATCTCTCATCATTTTCAACGCAGCAGCCAAATAAGCAAACCAGGTTTGGATGACGAAGCTTGGAAAGACCTGCAACTTCTCGAGTGAAAGAATCAGAGGTGCTACCTTTAGTCAAATGCTTGATGGCCACAACTTGACCACTGGGCAGAACACCTCTGTACACCTGCCCTGCACTCCCACGTCCAAGGTTTACCTTTTCATTACCATAATTCATGGCATTCTCAATTTCAGCTTTGGAGAACCAGTATAGTCCAGACCACGTAGTGATCTCTTTCAAGCGAGCTGGCTTACGAGTTTTCTTCTTGGACACATATCTTACCAGAATAACGATAAGCAATATTGCAAGGGCAGCTAATGCCCCACTAAACAGGAGTTTTGACCAAGATCCAGCTGCTAATGCCAAAACATTTTTCTGTCAGTTTCATGTCCTTCAAAACTACACTAAGAGGTCGTTTGGTTCACCTTTAAAAAAAAGTAACTTTTACTGCTTCCTTATTTTTAAAGTACTTTTTACAAAAGTTAAAGCTATTTATATTTTTATAAAAATATTTAGTTTTTTAAAAAAATATTTGGCTTTTGACTTTTACTTTTCTGGGAAGTTAAAAATGTTAGCTTCTGAGAAAAGTAGGTTTTTGACTTTTTTTGTGACTTCTCTTTTTTTTAAAAGCAGACATCCAAATGAACTAAAAACGAAAAGTGCTTTTTTTCTTAATAAAAAGCAGCTTTTGAAGAAAAAAAAGCTCATCCAAACAGGCCCTAAATGGGTTTACTAATCTCTGTTACATGATACAGTACCCTAACGTGACACAAATATGTGAAGTCTACAATTAAAAAAAAAAAAAAAAGTTGGCATGAAATTTTATGGATGTATGACCTAAGATAATTCTCTTATTATACAACATGAGATTATTATTTCCCACACTAAATAAGTTAAAATATTTTACGAAAAATGTCAAAAAAAATATAATATAAAATTATTAATTAGTGTAACCTTCACCTAATAATTTAAGTAGGAGGAGGGATATTCTCACTACCAAAATTTTCCACTAACTTACTACCTATCTAATCACCATTAGATTAACATTTTCTCTTTTTTTTAAAACTTTTTAACATTCTCTCTCTTTGATCCAATGGTGATGTGATGAATAGTAAGTTAGTAGAAAGAATTTTTGGTAGTTAAAATATCCTAAGTGTTTAAATAGTTATGAGTTTCATGCTTCTATTTCTACAATTTTTATGTGTTACAGAAATATAATATAAAATATTTTAACATAATTTCACCAAGTTATGCAAGTTAGAATCTTTCCACTAGTAGCCAGAGTGATCTAAAGAAAGAAAATAAAATGGTTGGGTGGCTCTTCTTACGCTTGTTTACTCCTGAAGAAGATGGCAAGCACCGAAAGAATTTATCACTGAGGGATGGGTCACCGGGATTCCCAACTGCAACAGCAACAACAGCTGCTACCCCACATATGGCTCTTTCAGTATTATTGGGGCCGTTCTCTAATATTGGAGCATATAAACTATCTCTAACGTTCAATATAGCATTGGTACAATCTGCACAAGACTGGTCAAATGGATGGTCAAAATGGGAGCATTGGTCCAAGGCATCTTGGTACTGTTGTATGCTCTGAGCCTCCTGTAGAGATAAGCTAGAACATTGGGAGCTGCCAAGGTAAAAACTATCAAAACCACATGAATGAAGTGACATCCCTTGTTGTGGATTAAATAACTGGCTACAATTCTGCCATTGATCTTGGGAAGTAAAGAGTTGTCCTGTTGTTGAGTTTGAGGTTTGCATGGCCAAAGCATCAGACAAAACAGTGAGAGCATTGCGGCAGCATATAGTGGTCGGAAACCCTTCCCCACCCCCACCCCAGTTGTTTATGTCCTCGTTCACACCGCCGCACTCACCAAATGCCACGTATGGGTATGTTGTGAAATTCAACACACATTTACCTGCACGTACCAATAGCTAAACATAAACGAAAATAGTTTACATATTATCTCAGCTTAGTTTTGATCTTCAAGCAAGTATTTTAGACTATAATCTAATTCTGTATATTTGATTTACTCAGTTTAATTATATTAATAATATATAACTTGCCTAATTTATTTAAAAAAAAATGTTATAACACATTTATGTCTCATATTAATAATATACAAGAGAAGAGGTTGGTGAATAAAAGGAAGGGAAACTTATATGACCTTGTGGGTTATTGGGTGCAGCGGATAGGATTGAAGAATAGCCTATCAATGCTGCAGCAATAAAGACATCAAAGAAAGGGGTCTTTATTTTCATATCCAAATTGTCACAAAGTCTCTTTGTACCCGCAAGAGAAATTAGCCCATTGGGAAGTTGCGAAACGGGAGAAGTGACAGCTGAGCAACCAAAAATTTTCTCTGAGACGAGTGCAATTCAGAAGATATAGGGGTTCATCTTTCTTTGAGAAAATCGTTAGGGACATGGATATTCCCGCTAGCTCACGGTTCACCATATTACAGCTTGTATTCATGGCCTTGATTTTATCAACAAAGTCTTCTTATGGCCTTTTATACTTTTATTAACAATAAATCCTATTCTTTTAGTTCAGGTTATATTTACTAATTTTTTTGTTTACAAACTCTTATAAATTATACTATTTTTTTTCGGGAAAACACTCATTTCACTATGTTCTCTCGAAAGAACATAGTGTAATTTGTAAAAATTTGTAAACGGATCCTTCCTTTTCTTCTTATACCCTTTTGGCCGACCATCAATGGCTTAGAATGAATAAATCAGTTAAGATTAATTCTATTATGCAAGTTAGTATTCATAAAGTTCAATTTTGTCACTTTCTGTATGTTTTTTTGGGGAAAGCACGTCCTTAGCTGTACAATAAATATCGCAATTACCACAATAATAATACTCCTGTATATGTAAAAATCACAAGCCACCCAGCATTTTCGCCTTATCCAATCTTATCCTTTCCTATTTATCATGGCTTTGTTTCTCGGGTACTATGATGCAGATATTACATTAGATGCTTTATAATATATAAATACTAATCTTGTTTCATACTTTAGACTTTAGAGAGTAAGAACAAAATGCATTGTTAATTATCGCTCATAGACAACGAATGAAAATAAAATAACATAATTACCCATCACTGATTGTTAAAGATGTCACGCTCTTGGAAATTTATCATCTTGCTGTAACTTTGCTTCCATAATTCACCATATCATCAAGTCTTTCTTCTGATAGGATATGAATTGTTATATTTTTTTTTTTCGCTTAGTATTCACATTCCTGTCTATTTAATAAAATAATATTAATTAAAAAAAAATTCGATACTCTAATTAGAAAGAAAATAAGATTTAAGAGAGGTGAACTTATTTATATAGTTCGTAATATTTTATTGAAGGGATACAATTATTTAGGCCTTGTAATAAGATTTTCTTCTTGTTTTTTATTTTTTTAAATATATTTTATAAAATCATTTCTCAGAAACATTTTGCAAAATAAAAATATAAAAAACTCATTCAATGAATTTTCTTTCAAAAATTTGAGAATGATCTAACGACTGACTTTAGATGTGACAACTCCAGTGAAATGTGATTAAAAAGTGAGAGCAAAAATCCATAAAAATAAGAAAACAAAAATAATTAAAATGTGTTTTTATTTATTTTATTTTAAAAAAATTGTGAAGAATAAAATTTTAAAACAATAAATTAAAATATAAATTTTATTTTAGAATTTATCTTTTGAAAATAGAAAACTGTGTTTCTTATCATTTGATCATATTTAATTTTTCGTATTATTATTTATTTTAGTATTATTAGGGAATGTGAACTGGGCCATGAATAAACAAAACAACGGATTGGACTTAGAATATTGAGTCCATTTGTGGCGCGGGGAGGTTGGAAGCGTCAACGTGTACTTTGTGGCTGCAATGACGAGTCTGTTTGCAGTCCACACGAACACGATGCTCTTATCTCTTCTAATGCGACGGCGCTTCTTCTTCTCCTTTCTTCTTCTTCTTCTTTTTACCTTTTCTATTATTTCATTCAAACTGCACTTAGCTTCCTTCTACGCCGCAAGGCATGTGTCCCACTCTCTTCATTCTAAATATTATCTCTGCTTTCAATTATCACATTGTACATACATATATTAAAAAAACTAATGAAAGCATGCAGCATTTTAGGCCTATAATGTTTTTATTTTGTCTTAAAGAGATTACTAGCTATAACTAGATATGCTATTTATCTTGCTATTTATTTTTTTGCAGTGTGTGGTCACATTTGGAAGTGAGTACATACATATATTACATGTATGTATGACAATGTTGGGTGCACATTCAATGTTGTTATCCCATCAAGAATTAGGCACTGTCTCTCCAAGTGTATGTATAAAAGTAGGTCTTAAAGTTACAGGTGATCTAAGGTTTCACAGAACAAGAGGGTTTCAATATCCTCCTAGTGTGGTAGTGCTCAAAGTAATGTCCACCACCAGAAAGCCAACACCCTTGCGCTTGTTAAGACCTTATAGACTTTCTTGTAGTTTGGGGCGACAACACCATGAAGGGAAAGTAGATTCTTCTTCCACTCCTAAAAATATACCACGGGTAAGTAAGTAACTGCTAGTGAGTTAGTTCCTCCAACTTCATTGTTCATACAATTATACTTAACCCCTTGTGTGAAAAAATGCAAATTTTGTTCCTACAACACCACCTTTCTGTCCAATTTTTATTCTCTTAGTTTACCCCTTGTTTTGACAACAACAGGTATTCGAATTTGCTGTCGACAGAATGCTTGTTTTTCTCAAAGATTGGAGTTATTTACCCATCATGACAATAGCTGGCATCTTGGTATGCATTTTAATGATCATTCCATCAGCTAATGCTGTTGACGCTCTCAAAACTTGTGCTTGCTTGCTTAAGGAATGCAGGTATACCATCTTTCTCTCTTGTCCTTTTTTCTGCCATAATAAAAAGTAATTCAATAGGCCTCCAATTTCTTAATTTTTTTTTTTTTTTTATATCTATGCAGGATAGAACTGGCTAGGTGTCTTTCAAACCCATCATGTGCTGCCAATATTGCTTGTCTCCAAACTTGCAACAATCGACCTGATGAGACCGAATGCCAAGTTAGTCTTGTACTTTATATTAAGTTCATGCCGGTACCATTATGTACCAATTAGCAAGGGAAGTGAACTCCGCTCATGGAAGCTTCTTTTTCTTCTTGATTTTTCCAGATTAAATGCGGGGACCTGTTTGAAAACAGTGTGGTTGATGAGTTCAATGAGTGTGCAGTCTCGAGGAAGAAATGTGTACCTAAGAAATCTGATGTGGGAGAATTTCCTGTTCCAAATCCTGATGTCCTTGTCAAGAGCTTCAACATTGCAGATTTCAGTGGCAAGTGGTTCATCACTAGTGGCTTAAATCCTACCTTCGATGCCTTTGACTGCCAATTACATGAATTTCACACAGAATCCAACAAACTTGTGGGTAATATTTCATGGAGAATACGAACTCCTGATACTGGATTTCTTACTAGGTCAGCTGTGCAGAGATTTGTGCAAGATCCTTCTTATCCTGGGATCCTATACAATCATGATAACGAGTACCTTCACTATCAAGATGACTGGTAATTTCTTGCTTAGAAGCTCTTATCAATTTTTGCTCACCTAAACATGAATAGGTATTGGCAACTACATCCACGTGAAGTCCGAATGTTGCTATTTAAAATGAAATTCATGTGCTGGAAGGAAGTAAATTTTATTTCCAACTTCAGAAAAAGAAAGGACAGGACAACATGCTTCTGTTCTGAGCACTTTTTGTATGTCATACCTTAAAGTGGTCCTCTAGCATATTTATTACTCAGTTTCACGTTTCCAATGTATGAGGAGGATTCAGGATTTTTTGTTTTACATTTAGACACAATCCTATCAATTGAATTTGGCCTTTCACCCCACTAGAGGACTTACAATCAGTGTGATATGCAGGTATATCTTGTCATCCAAGATTGAGAATAAACCAGATGATTACATATTTGTATACTACCGAGGCAGAAATGATGCATGGGATGGCTATGGTGGTGCTGTTGTGTACACAAGAAGTGCAGTTTTGCCTGAATCTATAATCCCTGAACTCGATAAAGCGGCTAAGAGTGTGGGAAGAGACTTTAGCCAGTTCATCAGGACAGATAATACATGTGGACCAGAGCCTTCCTTGGTGGAGAGGATAGAGAAAACGGTAGAGGAAGGAGAGGAGACCATTGTGAGGGAAGTTGAAGAGTTAGAAGGAGAGGTAGAGAAGGTGGGGAAAACAGAGATCTCGTTGTTTCAGAAGTTGGCGGAAGGGTTCAAGGTATTTCAAGAAGATGAGGAAAATTTCTTAAGAGAGCTATCAAAAGAAGAAATGGACATACTTAACGGACTCAAAATGGAAGCAGGTGAAGTAGAAAAGCTCTTTGGACGGGCCTTGCCGCTAAGGAAACTAAGATAAGTCTGAAAACCAAGTCCAAGATAACTTGGCATCATAGTTTTGTTTAATCATCTTGAATTTCTCTTTGGTTTTATATTCATTAATTATGCTGCATGGATTCAGATTATCATCGTTGTATAGACTCAAGAGTATTGTATAGGTTTTAATACTTGTGCTATTTTGTACTTGAATATATTTGGTTTGGAAGCCTTCTTAATTCTAATATAGTCTAAACATCATTAAAAAATTGAACGCAATGACAAGAGGTGGGAAGAACTTGGAAGTTGAGGCCTGCTTTGCAACTTCAAACATCAAAGCAACACAATGCAGTTTTATCTAGAGTTTCCTCTTAGGTAGGTATTAGTGTATTACTATCACTCAACCTAGCTTAAATGAAGACCACTTTTTGGGAGGGTGATAAGTGAGAACATTTCCACTCCCCATTCCAGATTCAGCGGGACCAATTATTTGCATATGCGATTAATACCTGTTGAAATATATAAAATTATTAATGTAACCTCATCCAATAGCTTAATCTTTTGGGTTGAATTAGTTCTTTACATGGTATCAGAGCCTCGGCGTACCGGGTTCGATCCTCATCGCTCTCCACTTTCTTTCCAGTAAAATTTCTTTCTTCGCACAGGTAGGTAGGCCGGTGGATAGTCCACCCTTCAAGTCCAATGGGCTCTCGTGTGTGAGGAAGCGTGTTGAAATATATAAAATTATTAATGTAATCTCACCCAATAACTTAAGCTTTTGGGTTGAATTGTTTCTTTACAATACCCGAAGTTTAAAATCAAAGGTTACTCTCCATGCATCTGTCAGTAAATTCGAAAAGAGTCATTGTTGAGCTGAGGGGAAGATTACGCCATCACCGAAATGATAAAGAGCAAACTCTGACAGTATAGTCGTTTGCTCAAATGGAATGCTGTTGTTGGATCCCTTCAAGTTTTACTGTAGACCAGATTGGTAACCTGAGACAGTCATGAGAGCCTGAGAGGGCGCTTTACCGTAAGGTCTTTGCCCTTTGATTCAGCAATTAGTACCACTGACACTCTCGTGGGACAGTGGCCAAAATGTCACTTTTTGACAAAAATTTTACTCAAATACCATGCGAACAGTATTTTTTACCAGACTGCCACTTAGGCGTAATTCGCTACGACTGGTAGCAAATTACGTTCGTCAATGATTTCATGACAAGTGGCACACTTTCGTAGGAAAAAGCTGACGTGTCATAATTCGTTACTACTGGTAGCGAATTTGGTCTGCAATATGGCCACGTGTCACGAAATCATTGGCCACGAAATTCTCTATCAGTGGTAGTGAATTATGACACGTGACAGTCTGGTAAAAAACACTGTTCGCGTGGTATTTGGATAAAAAATTTAACAAAAAGTGACACTTTGGTCACTGTTCCCACTCTTGTTGGCCAAGTCATCCTCGTATTATTACCGCTTCTCTTCGTAGCTACTGGTTCCTTCTGTAATTTCTTGCTAATTAACCACGTTCAACAAAATAACATCTTTAGCTTTATAGCATGGCTTTTAAATTTGGACCGGACATGTAAAGGTTATATGAGTTATTAGATTATTAACTTACAAAAACAAGACCTGATACCCCACTCGATAAGTAAATGGGTTCTCTGAATCTTTACCTCAAACTAATCCATACCTGACCCTATCCGAAAATTTGTCATTGGATCAATTGCTCTTAATGGATTCACACTAGAGATATAAGTGAGTGACGAAACTTTTACGATAGGTAGATATAATATATGATTACTTTATGTATTGATCCTGAGCTGTTTGGTAATCGAGGGAATCAGGTATATGTTGATTTAGGGTGCTTTTAGTGACAATGGTATAGACTACAGACCAATGCCCTTATGGAGCTTCCCAATAATAATGGTGGGGGGAGGTGTTTAGTGGCTATAGTGGCTCTGCAAATGAACAAAATAGCAGCTCATAGAAGTAATAGAATAGTCCTCCTTTCTCAGTGAGTTAGGAGAGGTTTTACCTCCTTTGTGGGGAGAGGTAGTAAGGAAGACGGGACAGCTACACCACCATAGCCAGGTTTTGCTTGGGCAAGACGTTTTACAGACACCACCATACAATGGCTACTCGTGCATGGGGAATTGGGTTATGTAAGCTTTTAAGCTTTTAGGTATGGCCTCGTCAGTTCGGGCCTTGATTATTGGGCCAATCAATCTATTGGGCTGGCCAGAACAGATCCTATTTGCCTTGAGTTTTTGGGAGAGATGATTTATGATATGATATCAAACTTTTTTGTAGCCCAGAGATCTAGAGTTCAATCTTTACTGTGTTATTTTTCACAAAGAAATGTTAAGAGATATAAGTGATAAAGCTTTCACCGTAATTAAATATAATATAAAACTATTTATGTGTATTCTCCCGGCATCTTAACTTTTTTTTGTAAGAATTAATTGAATGTAAGTTGGTGGATTGGTTCAGAATCGTGATCACCCCTTTATTTGAATAGCCAGGTTTTTCGTTTATAACTGGTTATGTCGAATAGGGCCACTTACGTGGAATCCTATAAATACATCCATCACTCCATTAGTGTTTTTTTTTTTTCTCAACTACAATATTTCAAACAAAAGTTAAAAAAACAAAAAGATATTCAATCTATTTTTAAAGCCAACATATCGGTGATGATTTCACAAAAATAAGTTAATGACATTTACAACTACCCTGTTCATGATATTAAAATCGGTGAAAAGATATTTACCAAAAAAAAAAAAAAATCAATGAAAAGATGTTGCTTGCTCTTCTTCTTTTTTCTTTTCTTTTTTTAAAAAAAAAAGAAATTCTAAACTCTACTAACCAATCTTTCTGCTAATTCTCTTAATAAAGTATAAAGTATTCAACAATTTTGTATTCTTAAGAATTGTTATTTTTTATTTAATATTATAGTAATAGAGTTTAGTGTGTTTCCTTTTCAAAGGCAGTAAGTTGTGTCCTTTTAGTTTTTTACTCTATGTACTCCCAGTAGCACATAGTTATAACATGAAAAGTTATTTTTTTTTTTCACTTTTCATATCAGCTAATGGGACTGAGGAGAGAAAAAAAATAACTTTTTTTGTTATAATTATGTACTACCAAAAATACAGAGTAAAAAAATTAAAACGACACAATTTATATCTTTTTAAAGCATAAATAATTTTTCCATAGTAAAATTTTATGAGAATATAATATAGCTCTTTCCTTTTAGAATGACGGCATATGTGGTTAATGAGAAAAAAAATCCTCTTTTCTTTTTTTTGAATTTTTTTTTTTGGGTAAAGACAGTGGCGGATGCAGGAAATTGTATTTATGTCTGCACATTTAGTGGCGAGCTGCCCCTGAATTTTTTTTTAAAAAAAACTCTCGACATGCACAGGATCCATGAAAGGATATACGGTAAATAGTCTTATCTTGCATTTGCAAAATGTTAGATATAATAATTAAAAATGTGACTTTTGAATACATGACTAGAACACTGTTGGACGTTTAGCAAGTGCACTAGTCGTACAAGTAATAAAATGATGAGTAAAGATCGTTCCCACGAGGATTTGTGTCAAGCACTGACTAACCATATGTACTTGAGTTGAATCAAACAAAAGTTCATAGATTGCATAGATTTCTTGTCACCAGAAACTACACTGAATTGAATTAAAACTTGATAAATAAATAAAATGTAAATTATAATGTAAACAAGTAGTCAGATGTCATTTTCCCTCAAACATGAATTTATAGATGAACCAATTTCCATTATGAATTATCTACTATGTTATGTTGATCAACCTTTTTCTTATCATCTCAAGATGTAATCCCTTACTACCCTGATAGACACATTAATCAGAAACCCCAATCCCTTGGTGATTCCTTTCTTAATACATGCATTAATTACTAAGGTCTTAAGATCACATCAGAATCCTAGCATCAATCCCTTGACTACTAGAACACTGATGATGTAGTTGTCAAAAATAGAGAAACAATGTAAACATGTCTGTTCTACATTATTCCTCAACATGAAGAATTAATCAAGACAACTTCATACAATCACATAATAGATAAACAAAACATCTAATTAACCATTCACAAATTCAAACTTGAGTTCCATTGAATCAGACTACAAAGGACTCTACTCAGACATAATTGAAATACAAACAAGAGAAGAAAGATAGATCAAACTCCATTGTCATGATAGTTGAGTCTTCAATCTCCAAGTACAATTACATAGGAAATACTAACTATTACAAGAACTAATCCTAAAGAATTTGGAAATTCAGAGAAAATGAGGAGTCAGATCAGATCTATGAAAGACCTGATCTGATCTCCCTTCTCCTAGTGTGATGGGAAAAGTCAGAATGAGATATGATAGGATAGATCTGATATCTGGCATCTGTCAGAATGTGAAGGCCCATTGTCCTTTTATAATTTACAAATTACAACTGAAAACTGACATGGGCGCTAAAACTCTCATTTCTGGACGTTTTAGCGCTCAACCTTGACGGATGCCCAACTGCTTTTAACTGTCTTGGGCGCTAAAACGCTCAGTTTTGGGCGTTTTAATGTTCAGCACCAGCATCTTTTGTGCAACAGGGCGCTAAAACTCTCAGTTTTGGGCGTTTTAGCTCCCAACACTTAGAATTTTCCCATTCTTCAGAATCTTCTTCCTTCTCTCTTTTGCTTATTGAGCTTCATTTCCCTACAAAAACAATGTAAATTTTCAACATAAGCTTCAGAATTGTATTTGAGAGATTTCCAGGACATTAACCTCTTTTCCATCCATTTAATCACACAAATTGATATTAATTCATGCTTAAAAACCTGATGAACTAAGGGTTCATCACAATTCCCAGATTTGAACATTGTTGTCCTCAGCAATGAATTAAAACAGAGAAGGACTTGAGATTCTTTACAGATGAAATTCATGAGGATGGACTTCAATTAACAAAAGATCAACATTTCATGATACAAAATTATAACTATGCAATCTCTTATTTCCTATGATTTGCCCAACATCATTTGTGACTTTTCAACAGATCAGTAAAGATGATATACAGAGACTTCCAAACAACAACACCCCCTCACTAGGAACTTCTCAAAATTTATGAGAATTTTAACACTCTTGCACACTAGTGTTTAAGGATGTACTTATCACTCACTCTTCACTGCACTCAAACTACCATAGGCTTGCCCATCTTCTCACTATTCATAGTAACAATGATCCATA